TATTTTTAGCCATCCCCCAATCAATAGACATCCACTTTGTTTCTGCTTTACTTCCCACAGTCTATCAATAGTTCAGCATATGTTGAATCTTTGTTCCTGTCTTTGACCTCCTTGAGGTGTAGGCCCACTAGTGGGACTGCTGGATCAAAGGATATGGATAGGTTTATCTCTTTCTACATGGAAGATGCTATGCTTTATAATATAATGATTATTCTTGACATGTTGTGTTGGTGGTATATTTGAAAAAGAGAAGTATTTTCCATGTGGACATTAGATACTCTAATATTCTCATTATGCTAGAACCTAGTTTATATATTTGCTCTACATGACTGAGTTAAAGGTTTTGTGATAACCAAGTAAAGATAACAAAAGTGGGGGATCTTATTCATTAAATCATTGAATTGACAATGACCCTCCTTTTATACTCCAGGGACTTTTTGGCACACTCCTTTTGCCATCAGTCAGTATATAATTTTCTTATAAATGTTTAGAGATTTGAGTGATTCAAGCTGCATATCCCGTGTAGAAAGCATCCTTCCATGTAATTGGCCTTTATTTGGATAGCCTACTGGTGTTCTTATGTTCTGGTAATAAATATGTGATATCTTCTGTGAAAAATGATTAGAGCACACTTGCATCAGAAGAGAAGCTGGTAAAGTGCTGTGCTGGTTATTCATGCACCTCTGTGAAGCATCTGAGTTAATGCATCTTATTCAGATCTTCTGTTTTCAAGTTTCTTAGGGAAACAAGAGTTTTAATCACCTCCTTGATGTAATCATTCTTCTTTTGAGAACACAGACTTACTGTTTCAAATCTGATTCAAGTTGTGCTGTTCATGGGTAGGACTTTTTTTGACCATATAGATAGACCAACAGAGAATAGAGCATAGGACTAGGGGAACAGGAAGACCTGAGTTCAAATCTTGCCTCAGATTCTTAATAGCTTTGTGACCCTTGGCAAGTCACTAACCTATCTGTACTTTATTTCCTCATTTAATGATTGCACCAACGTCAAGGGATTTGGAGGCAGCTAGGTAGTGCAGTGGATAGAGTGCTGGGCCTAGAATCAGGAAGACTTGGCAATGGCCATTATGGCAATGGCAAACCACTCAGCCACTCCAGTATCTTTGCCAAGAAAACCCCAAATGGGATGATGAAGAGTTGGACATGACTGCAAAATGACTGAACAAAACATCGAGGGGTTGCAGTGAGGATTAAATGAGTAAACATTTAAAGTGCTTTGCAAACTTTAAAGTGCTATACAAATGCTAGTTGTTGTTACTGTTGTTATTAAAGTGGCAAGGAGTTTTTCACATTTTCTTTTGGGGTTCTCTCCTCTAATTTTTTGCCTTTCAACTTCTAGTGACTGATTTTTAAAATCAGTGTTCCATTTTTATTTTGTCCTTTGAACTGCTTTGACTCCTTGTATTGCCTAAACTTTTGGCTTTCACTTTCGATTGTTAATTTAGAGTATCAAGAATTTCTGATATCCTTTTGTCTTTCAAATTCCATTCTACATATTTCTTTGTCATTGCCTTTAATTGGGTGATTTAGTTTAATGAGTTTTAAGCTGCACTTACCAGCTAGATATTTATGTAATCTTTAATAAGTCTTCAATTGTTTTATTTTTAAGCCGTTTCCAGACATTGTCCTCAGGAGTATTGCTAGATGGTGCTACCTTTCCTTCTAAGGTCCTTACCATTGTAACACCCACAGCCTATACTGTTGTTTCCAACACCTGAAATATTATGGGAGAGTGCATTGCTTCATGATGGTTAATTTGAATGCCCCTGTTTTGTTATGATTGATCTGCTAATTGTATTTCTATTGTCAAACTCAAAAAGGATTTATCATAATTCCATTCTAAGAATGCCCAATCCCTTTGAAAAATCATTTGATACATCTGCACTATTTTTGTTGTGTCTCATCATTGGATAGTTCTTTTGGAGTGTGTGTTAGATGTAGACTTTCTTTTTTCTAAGATTTAAAAAAAATCCTTCTTTTAAATTAGAACTTTGTTCCTACAATTAGATTTTCCTAAATGACTTTGTTACAATTCTGTTCTCACAGGCTTTTGCCCCACCTCTGACTCCTATTTACCTACCCTTTCCCTGGTTTGGAGATTTTTACTTGATTTTTTCCCCTTTTCTTTTCCCTCTCAATTAAATGGTTTTGATTAAGGAACTAAACATTTTATGAGGCAAAAATGAGAAGGGAATGCATTCCAGATGTGAGGGACAGCCAGTGCAAAGACGTGGAGAAAAAGTGCCATGTATATGGTATATGGTATATGGTATTTCCATCCCAGTTATACTGAAACTTTTCTTCCTGAGATTATCGATGACCTTATCCAGTGGTTTTTTTCAACATGTGAGAAGCTAGACTAGGCTGCTAGGGGATGCAGTGAGTGAAGAAGAATTGAGTTCAAATTTGACCTCAGATACTAGCTATGACCCTGGGCAAGTCACTTAATTTCTATCTGCCTTGGTTTCCTCAACTGTAAAATAGAGATAATAGCACAGGGTTCATCAAATTGTTGAATGAAATGATGTTTGTAAAGCACTTAAGTACTTAATAAATGCTTTTTTCCTTTCCCTCCTAGCCACTTTCTTGATATTCTCACCTCCCCTGGCTTTTTTGACATGGTAATGCCATGATTTGCCTTCTATTTCCCTGAGTATTTATATATTATCTATTTCATTGACTACTGTTTCTCTTCCTGTCCTTTCCATGTGGGTCTTCCCCACATTGTTCCCCTTTGCTACCTTCTGTTTTCTTTCTACACTCCGTTTTTTCAACCTTGTCCACTCATAGGGTTTCAATCATCAACTTTAAGCAGATTACTTTTAAATCTGAACCACTACCCCCAATCTCCATAGAGTTCCACTCTCATATTTCCAACTGCCTGATGCCTAACTCCATGTGAAGGCTCCATCAGCACCTCTGTCTGAACGGAGGACAGAGGACTGGGTCTAGAGTAAAGTATCAGAGTTTGAATCCTGGTCGTGTTAAACGTAAGTTGTGTGAACATGGGCAAGTCAGTTAACCTCAGTTAACCTCTGTATGCCTCAGTTTCCTTGTCTGTAAAATGAGGATGTTGATCTAGGTGACCTCTAAGTTACTTTCTGGCTCTAATTCTGTGATCTCAAAAAGGAACATATTATCTTTTTGCTAACATCTATCCCTCCTCTTGCTTTCTCTATTTGTTTGATGGCATACTATCATTCCAGTTTTCCGAGTTTGAAACTTCCAAGTCATCTCTATTTTTTTTGCCCTTCCCCCCACCCCCAATCCAATTATTCCCCAAGCTCTGTTGAATAGACCTTGGCAGCATCAATTCTGTCCTCATTGGAATGTAAGCTCCTTACACATTGGGATGGTTTCATTCTTTGAATTGGTATCCCCAGTGCCTGGCACACTTCCTGGCACATAGTAAGTACTTAATTAATATTTGTTCATTAATTGATCTACTCCCTTACTGTTTCCTGCTCCTTCTACTTCCACAGTACAACCACTTCTTGCCTAGATCACCATAATAGGTTCCTAACTGGTCTTTCTGTCTCTAGTCTCCCCTCTTTCTAAGTTTATTCACGCTCCTCTGATCTCATAAAAAATGGCTCTTTATTGCTTACATCGTAAACTATAAATTTCCTATATAAGCATCCAAGACCCTCCTTGACTCTAGCCTGCCTTTCCATCCTAATTTCTCAGTTATATCTCTCACATACTCCATATTCCAGTTAATTCCAGACCATTTATGGTCCCCTCCCATTCTCATCCTGTTCTCTCCTACCCCCATGCCTTTGCTTATATCTTTCCCAATTCCTGGCAACTCTGTTCCCATCTCTACCAATTAAAATCCTTTTCTTCCTTCAAGGATCATTTCACATGTCACTTTCATGGTGATGCCTTACCTGCTCTCAACAGGTGGAAATGTGATCTGAACCTCTCTAAATTTTTCACACTCTGAATCTTTTGTTTGCAGTTAGTATATTCTCTCACAGATATACAGAACTGGAAAGAACTTAAATGGCCATCTGGTACAACCCAAATTTGCAGAAGAATCCCCTTTAAAACATATCCAACAAGTAGTTTTCCTTGAAAATCTCCAGGGATGGGGAATCCACTACCTCCCAGAACAGACAGTTTCACTTTTAGATACTTGTAATTGTAAGGAAATGTTTCTCTACAATCTTAAATGTATCTTTTTGTAACTTCTGACTAATAGGTGCTTATATGTGTGCCTTTTTCTCTTTTCTAAACTCTAAATTCCTTGAAAGGAGGACTTCTGACCTATTTCATCCTATATCCCTAGCACCTATCACTTTGCCTTACATGCAGTAGGTGCTTAATAAATGCTTTGTTGCATTAAATGGCTTGAATTGTGGTTCATGATAGCAGGTATGAGGAAAAGACTTTACCTGTTTACTTTGTACTAAGAGCAAAAAAAAGGTCAAGGCTCTAGGGAGAATAGAGAGAGCTAAAATCAGTGTGCTTCAGTCTTGAGCATCTCTGAATATTAAATTTAATTAAATATTCTGGAAATAATTTAGGCGGACTGTGAGATTTAACACAGCAGATCATCATTCATTTATTTAGTCGGGTCTAGCAGCTGCCTTCACATCATTTGCACAAAAAAAGGGATAAAATGCCTAACTCTTAATGCTGTATATAGTATGAAATGCAAAAATAATTTGAAGTTTTAATAGGATACTGAATGTTGCCAACTATCGGAAAAAATTTGCATTTCAATATGTGTGGGCGCAGATTGTGTTATGGTGGCCAAAGGCAACCTCATTTTCCATTTTCCATGGTTCACGACTCAGAGACACCAAAACCCTGGGCATCCTTTCATCGCGGCTGGTGCCTAGGACTAGACCCCTTCCAAATCCCGAATCATCTGCATTGATCTCGGCAGTTGGCTGGCTGGATCATTTCACTTTAGAGCTTCATTAACATTCGGTGTTAATTGTCTTTCACTTTTCCACTCATTGGCCTTACCTGAAGGAGACTTCTGACACCATCCCTAAAGCAGTCTGCTGCTACTGCGGCATAGAAAGCCTTAATTTTGTTCTTGAGAAGCCACTCCTGCTTCTTCGCCATGCCGTTGTTCATCTCCTTCACACACTCCTTGCGCGGTCCCTGTAAGACATGATGAAATTTATTGGTCGGTCAAAAGCCGTGGCATTCTACATCAAGCTGTGGTTGTTTTTTTAAAGGACAAAAATAGGCAGCTGAGCCCTGTTAGGCTAAGGAATGGGGGAAACTCCCCAAACTCCACAAAAATCCAGCCTTCCCTCCCCAAACCCACCACTGTTTATATTCACATTCTAGCCAAGGAGTCTGGGGTTATTAGCATGTGATTAATTAACTGCAATGACTCAGAGTGAAGTGAGAAGGGGCAGGTGGTGCTGAGCCCGGACTCACGGCAGAACCGTGATGAAAGTGACTCAGGAGGAAGATGCCAACAGCCCTTGGCTCAGCCTTCAGGGTCACTTTTAGGGATGGTGAGTCAATCATAGCCACGGCATAAATCTAAAGAAACACATAGAACTTAGTGGGCAGAGTAGGTGGTGAGCTGTAGCCCTACATAATTCATACCTCATTCGAGCTGGAAGGGACCTCAGGGGTTTGGACTAGGCAACCCCCTCATTTTGCAGATAGGGTAACTGAGGCCCAGAGAAGTTAGGTAACTTGCCCAAGGTCACAAAGTAAATGCCAGAACTAGAGCTTCTGACTTCTCTTTACTACACTGGGTTATCACTGTTAGCCTTCTTAAAAACAAAACAGCACAAAAAAACTATACCTGTGATTTTTATTAGCATAGGGAGGTTTCTACTAGTACAGATCAGAGCCTTCTTTGTAATTTCTAGTCTCAGAGAGCTGCCTGGATGCCCAGAGTCACACATTCATATGTCTCTGAGTCAGGACTTGAACCCAGGTCTTCTCAAGTCTGAGGCCAGTTTTTTTTTCCCTCCACGGTTGTACTTTTATTTACATGTATCTGCCCCGTTCAGATAATTAGGGCAGAGGAGCAGTGACCTTTGATTTCATCAGTTTCCAAATGTGGAGACTCTCATCACCAATGCAGATAGGCAACTAACCGCCCAAAGCATAGTTTTAGAGAGTTTTCTGGGATGCTGAATGGTTAAATAGGTTGCTTTTATTTTCCCAGCTACAGTGTCAGAGGCAAGCTCTGTACCCAGATCTTCCTGCCTTTGGGGCACCTTGAACAGGACGTTCCAGGGGCATCCTCCATAAGCAGCCATAGCTGCATTCCGTGGGTAACTGAAACTCAACCTGTCCAAACCCGAACTCACTGTTTTCCCCCCCAAACCCTTCCCTTCATCTGCACTTCTCTGTCTGCCAAGGGCACTATCACTTTCCCTCTGTTGGAGTCCCAGGCTTTCGACCTCAGTGTCATCCTCAGTTCCTAAATCTCACTCGCCTCACGTGTGCCTTCACAATGTCTCTTGTATCGGTCCCTTTCTCCTTACTCACATAACATCTCCACTCATGTAGCCATCACTCTAGTTCAGGCCCTCATCCCCTTTCACCTGGACTAAGGCAATAGCCTTCTTCTTAATCTCCCTATCTCAATTTTCTCCTCCCTCCAATCCATCTTTAAACTCAGTTGCCTAAATTAATTTTTCTAAAGAGTAGGTCCCCTCATGTCATCCCCTCCTACTTAATAAGCTGTGATGGCTTTCATTTAGTCTTCAGGATCAAATACAAAGTCCTTGTTAGGCATTTAAAGTTGGCCACACCTGGCCTTTTGCTACCTTTCCAATGTTTTCTTTACTCCCCTCCACACAGTCTACAATCCTGGTATATTGACCAATGTGCTATTCCTGGCCCATGACACTCCCTCTCCCAACTCCATACCTCTGCACTGGCTGTACCCCGTATTAAGAATGCCCTCCCTCTTCACCTTCATCTCTTAGTTTCTTTGCCTTCATTCTGGACTCTTAAAAATTTCACCTTCTGCTGGAGGCCTTTTCCAGTTGCCCTAGCTGCTAGCGCCTTTCCCTCTACCATTACCTTCTCTCTATCTACTCTGTTTATGCCTTGCGTAGGTCTAGTTATTTACATGTTGTCTTCTCCCATTAGAACATCAGCTCCCTGAAGACACTTTGTTTTTTAACCTTTCTTAGTATCCCCAGTGTTAAACTCAGTGCTGCCCTAGGACATAGTTTTTGTTGTTGCTCAGTTGTTTCAGTCATGTCTGATTCTTCACGACCCCATTTGGGGTTTTCTTGGCAAAGATAGCAGAGTAGTTTGCCATTTCTTTCTCCCCAAATGGCTGATAAATGCTTGTTGATCCGGTGACACCAAGGCCACCTCTCTGTTCGTTATGCCAGGGGCGTCTAATTCAAATGGATCCCTACAGAGGCACATTGACTTAGGAAACCACTATGTTGACATTATCTATGTTGTACTGCGTTTTTATTTATTTTCTTAAATGTTCCCCAATTATATTTTAATTTGGTTCAGGTGCTCCATCTTCTTATCACTTCCTTAGCCAATATGTTAACTCCTTCTCCTTCCATTCTAGGTTAATTCAATGAGTATTTTTGGAAAGGACTTAGTGGTCATCTAGTCCAACCCTCTCATTTGTCATTTTGGGAAACTGAGACCTTCGAAGGTTCAGTAGTGTGGCCAAGTCACCAAGGCAGTAAATGGAAGAAGCAAGATTTAAACTCAGACCCTGTAATGCTCTTTCTATGATACCAATGTGTCTGGCACTGTGTAAGAGAAACATGAGAGATGGCCCTTATCCTTAGGCAGTGTCCAATGTAGTTGGAAGACTAGCCCTGCTTATAAACTTAGTAATAAGCATTCTTTTGGAGGGATTTTATTTTTCAGTCACTCTGAGAAGTGATGAAATTGGAAACGTTAGAAGCCACTAAGAAGGCAGTGTGGTTGACAGTAAGGAGAACTGCGGTAGATATCAGGAGACTGAGATCATGCCCCTGGTTCTAATACTAACTAGCCACATGATCTTGGGCAAGTGTCTTGGTCTCTCTGAGCAGCCGTAAAAGGAAGGAGATAGACTACTAACCCAGGGGTTCTTCACCTTTTTTGTGGTATTGCTTTTTATGGAAGTCTGTGGACCTTTTCTCAGAATAATGTTGTTAAATGCATAATATAAAATACATAGGATTACAAAGGAAATCAATTACATTAAAATACTGTTATCAAAATATCTTTTTAGAAAGAAGTTCACAGTCCCCAGGTTAAGAACCTCTGTACTAAAATGATCTCTAAGGTCCTTCTCAACTCTAAAATTCTATTCAATATGGTATATGACTTGGGTCTATCTTGGATCTCTCTGCCCTATTGTGTAGTACAAAGCAAAGGAAATTGAATGAAGGAAGCCCAACAGAGAGAGGAGGCATGGGACAGAGAAATCACTGCCAGGTCCAGGAAGGATGTGCTTTAACATCAGCCTACGAATTGCAGTAGCATGACTGTGAACCCCTGGGGAAACTGGCACTTATTTAAATAAATACAGTCTAGTGTATATCTATTAGTATTACAAAAATCCAAATTAAACATTAGCTGTGACAGTGAGATTTACTTTAGTGCCCGGGTTTGCCATATTGTAAAGTCATAAAAATATTTCATGCAGAATCTCTCTTTGCTGAAAGTTATTATACTATCATTGTTGTACACATATTAATGTGGAAGCAAAGCTGCCATACTGCCGCCATGGGAAAAAAGCAAATAATAAAAAAAAGAGAGAGAGAGAAAGACATGCAGGGACAGAGTCCTCTAACTTCTCACCGTGAGTCAGAATCACAGAAGTGGATTTTATCACCCAATTAAAATACTTCTATAGCTAACTTCATCCAAAAAATGAGTTTTAAAATGAACTCAACATTTCAGTAGACAAAACTATGGGTTGTTGGGTGGTTTTTTTCTCTTTCTTTTTAAAAAAAAACATCAAATGCTACAATACAGGTCTGAGGAAAGTGTGAAGAGTTTGCAATTATTTAATCTACAGACTAAATGCAGGCAGGTGGTGACCAGGAAGCTGGATCACTGTCTTTGAATAGAAGGACGGTTATTCCATGAAGAGGACAGTGAGCAAAATGTTCTCCTTTTCTACTAAAGACAAAAGAAAGGAAATGGGCCCGAATTGTAGCAGGAAGAGTTAAGGCTAGATACGATGCTATGGTGGAAAATACTGTGTTTTGTCCAAGTTCCTCCAACAGCAAATTTTATAAACACACACACACACACATACACACACACACACACACACACACATATACATATATTTATATATATACGTACATATATATATGTATATATACACATACATACATAGGAACAAATCTACAAAACAGACATTTGTTATAGCTTTTAATCAGAAGATTGAAACAAATCCTCTTCTTTTGGAACCAGTAGAGGAAAACAAAAAACAGAAAGACTTGTCTTATTAATCTTATCCAATCAATTTAAAGATCTTTAAGTGCCTAGAGCATGTAGAACACTGTGATAGGCACTGCAGGAGATACAAAATTTATATAAGACAGGTTCCGTACTCCATGAAGTTTAGTAGAGGGATTTGCCATATATAGAAATTCATTCTGTGTCTAATATATATGGACACATACACATATATATTTTACATTTGCTACATAGGCACAGTATATGCATACACATATATTCACATGTACACGTGCATGTATATATGTATAAACATATATAAATAGTCTCCCAATATACATACATACATATGTGTGTATGTAAATAAATAACCTCCTAATTGATTTCTCTATCTCAAATATCTCCCCATTTTATATAGCTGCCAAAGATTTTGCTAAAGTACAAGTGTGAACAAGTGCATATCAATGTTGCTGAGAATAAAAATAGAGTATGGATGGAGTACAAGATTGTAAATTGAGTACTAAAGTTGTTGAATGTATGTATATGTATGAAAAATACATATAATGTATATATGTATATTTATATATGTAGCCATATAAGATCATAGAATCATAAATCAAGAACTGGAAGGGACCTCTAAGATTATTTAGTCTAATCCCTTAATTTTGCAGGTTTAGGAAACAGAGGCTAAGGGACTTACCCATAGTCACAAAGGTAGTAAGAATTAGAGGTGGGATTTGAACTCA